TTCTACACCCTCTTATGTTCAAGCAGCTGTGAGACCTCACAGATTACCTAACAAAGTTTCCTTGAAAAAAAAAGTCCAAAATCTAAAAGCCTGTGAGAATATTGAGAAAGAATGCCTCGCGCTGAGTGTCCTCTCTGTCAGAAAGCATCATCCGTGAGGAATGAAATGTGACACTGGCTGTCAGGGCTCGTTTGGGGAAACTTGCCGTCAGTCAGCCATGGATGGGGCTCTGGTACAAGGGCAAAGAGTGTGAATGAATGGCTAGAAAAACCATGCTGTAAGCAAGGAGGTCATTGAGGGGATCTCAGCACCAGATAAGGACATGACACACTGAATCAAGACACCAAGGCCTTAGCTTTACATGTCCTTTTACACCTGAAATTTCAAACTGTATAAACTATTCCAATATAATGATCTTCTACCAGCGTCCATATATATATTGCTGTGTTTAGGTATGCTGATAATCTTAGGTAGGCAGTGGATCTTACAATAAGTAGGTGAAGGAGCAAGAGGCTTATCCAGGTCAGTGTGCTGTTTGGCTTCTCTGACGTATCTAAATGGGATTAGAATCCTCTGACAGTCCAGACTAAATCACCTCCTGAAGCACAGTTCTGCCACCTCCCATTAAGCACCTGAGGTCCAAAACCATTCTGAAAGGTAGAGCAGCAGGAGACTGAGCCGCATCCCAAATCCTGTTCACCACTTTAGCCCAAAACTCATGACCGATTATTATTATTTTTTTATTTTAAACCTTGATCTAAGGTTTGAAACCTATTTCTATATGGGGAAGCTGCTGTGGTTTTAAAAACTTCAACAGATTAACAAGAACTGACACAAGATATCACTTCGTAATGGAGTTTGAAGGGAGGATCAGCTGTTCCCTGTGGTCACCAACATGTTCAGGTCACTCAAATTTCACCTAAAAAAACCTGGAGTTTAAAGACTGACACCAACACAACCTGTTGGTTCCTGATTAGGGTCATTTCAATTACTCTTGTTAGTGATTAGACTCAAACAAATCCGGTGCGATGGGAGGAGGGCTGTGGATAAAACTTGCCACACAACTAGCCTGCTGTGTTAATGCACTTAGTCAACTTCTGTTTGGTTGAGAAACCCTTAATCTGTGTTACATAGGGAAAGTAGTTCTTTACGAATTCCTTGCTACACTAATTTTCTTAACTTCAAAGTATTATTAATCCCACTCATAAAATACATTTTTTGCACAACACTACCTTAAAGACACAAAGGTATTCCAGAATGCATTATTTTCTGTAATCAGGCTTTCACATAGGGTTGTGTCGATTGCTACATAGATTTCCTTTGTGGATAAGGACATTATCTATTTTATTATTTTACAATACATTTCTATTTTGATCTATAACTGCAAACTTTGTCACAATTTGTTATTTTTTGTTTCCCGTGTCTGTTAACATAAAAAAGGGCAAAAAAAAGGTTAGAACTGGCATAACATACACTTTATTTTTTCATTAGAAATACTACACAACCCTACAGGTTTTAATTCTGAAGGGGGTGGGGGTGCTGACCTAGCCTGACGTAGTCCTACTCAATTCTAGTCAGAATATGAGTCTGATTCTGCTCCATAGAGCTGTGATTATGGAGCGTGTTTTGAACGAACCAGGAAAAAAATGCCAATAAGAGCAAGGAGTGCGTGACGTATGTTAAGCGACGCATAGTTGTTGTCAACAAAAATTAAAGCGTGCAGTTGCACGTTTAGAATAAGAAGATGAGCCTTGATCGCGTTTCTCTGTTCCTCTTTTAAAATTAATTTGCTGTCGATTAGGGGTGTAAATAATAATCGTTTTGTATCGATGCATCGATCCAAAAGCCAACGATCCGATGCATCGACACGTCCGCAAGATAATCGATTCATTTTTTTTTTTCCTCCGGTCAATTTTTATCCATTTCCTCCCGGGCGTAATTCTCCCTCCCGTGCTAAACCTATTTTGCCCTCCTACCTCGCTTCCTGGTTATACTCTTACAGCAGTGTGTTGCAACAAGCTTCACACAGACATGTTTAAATTATGCTCAATATTGAAGCGTGGTCTGTGCTATATGCTGTGGGTCTAGATACGGCCGAGGCGGTGAGGAAGTGGGGGCGAGTTTAGTCCGACGACGGAGGGACATGAGGGCCAAAAAGAGCGGCGCTCCAGGTGGAAAAAGGGTCCCAGCGTTCTCGCGCACCTCGCTCTTCTAACGGGTCAAACTTCACGAGTTGTTTTCCGCAATTTCGGTCATAAAAACAAAACAAGCTGGCCTCCTGTCTGCGGCGCTGTTTGCGGTCATCTACAATTTGGGAGAGGAGCAGCGGAGCGTCTCTCAAGGGGACGTTGACACTCTATTGAATTGCAATCATTGCACTGGTTTTCTGCAGTATTTTTGCAGTATTTTTTGATGCAACGTTTCTACTTCTGTTATTTGCTGTTGTTTCTAAAAAAAAAATGCATAACGATATTACAGCTTTCATTGATTTATTTCAAACTTAAAACTTTGTTTAGCCTGTAAGGTGTAAAAAAAAAAAAATAATAATAAAAAATTTTTTACCGATTAATCGAATCGAATCGTGGTGTATTCTTGAGTATCGAAAATAATCGAGGGTCAGGAAATCGGTACTGAATCGAATCGCCATGATGGATCTGATTTACACCCCTGCTGTCGATATCTTCTAGAACAGACCTAATAGCAGAATCTACACACCTCAACTCTCCAGCGGCGGCCATTGTTGTTGTCACCCAAGCGCGCTTTGGTGACGTGGTTGATTACGTTACTGTTGATCATCTGTCCATCATCTTATAAAGCCCAATTTGATTGGCCCGCAAGATATTGTGCTAGCATACTCGCGCTACTACTGAGCAATGCCAGACCAAACTTCCCGACCTCAAACGTTGTGGGCGGGACTAAGTTCGGAATGGCACCCAGGCTAGTGCTGTACTAACTGAGGATGTTGTTTCAGGGCTGCCAACTCTCACCCATTGGGTGTGAGACTCAGGCATCTAAGGGTTTTCACAGACTCACACTCCTTATCCCCAATTTTTCACGCTAAAAGACGACGGACATTAAAAATCAACTCCATTCCACTTATTTATATATAAAAATACCATGCTGAGAAAAACCCAGTCCGCGTTTTCAACACAACCTTCGCGCTAATACATACTGACATACCAGGTGAGTTTCCAGCCTCTCAGCTAGCCTAGGAGCGTTTAGGCTTCCCCAATCAGAGCTGGAGGAGATGCCTGGGGGATAGGGAAATGTTGGAGTCTCTGCTGACACTACCCCCATGACCCAGAAGATGGCAATTACAAGTATTTCATACACTAGTCACTCATGGGAGTTTTAAACTCTCTTTAAGATGTTTAAAAGAGAGTTTCAGTACTAACTAGTTGTCCTATAATGCGAATGTTAGCCTGATGTAACTAAAAAAAACAAGTTTCAGTTCTGTTATTGATATTAGTACAAATGGTTATGGTGTTAAATTGAAGTGCGTGTTTGGTAACATCTCATTCGTTCCTTAAAGACGCTTTACAGAGTTTTCTAGTGATACTGCCACCTGGGACCAAAACTTTCTTTGCTCGTTCGGACCAATTCAACACGGACATGATTCCCGTCACATCCGAAGAACAGCGCAGGAACTTCCAACCGAAGTAATTCAGGAGAATATGCTACAGCCTTATAGATACGTCTGCGCTGAACTATTGAGGTGTCAGTCTGCTAATTAAAACAATATATTTCATCATTAAGTGTCAAATAAAAAGGCTATTTTAAAGACAATTTTCAGTAAAAACATACATAACGTCTCTTTAATGTTACAAGTTTAAAATTGTTATATCGATGTCTCTCAAAAAAAAAAATAAAATACAAAAGATTTTTAAAGTGGTATCTAGAACCCCTTAATCAGAATCAGAATTTGTGGCAATTAAAACTGTAAACACAGCATGATGCTGCCACTACCATGTTCTTGCTGACCTGGGCACAGATTAAGCTGCAGGTCCACAGTGGCTGTTTCAATCTGTCCACCAGTCCCAATGCGAATGGAAAATATCCCCACAGCATGATCCTGCCATCACCATGTTTCATGACACTGCAATTTATAACTTAGTTATGTGGATTATAAAGGCAAATAGTTTTGGAAATTGTTAAATCTTTAAAGAGGTATTACTACTTGTTTAAAACAATTTAAAGTAGAAATTTTTTTAATCAATGATGTTTCAGTCAGGATCTCTATTAAAACACAAAAAAATGATTTTTTTTTTTCTTTTTTACAGCCTTTTTCACTTTATCACAGTCTGCCTCTGTTGCAGCACTGCACTTTGATCTTAAGCTACTGTACAGTGGATGACAAGGAAATCTTCAGGGAAATCCAAGCAAAAATGCAGAATCCAGAAAGGTAATAAGTCAGCAGAGTGAACGCCAGTGATTTCTAGTCATGCCGGTTCATCTGAAGCAATGCAACCTTTTGCTTGTGCCAGCCAGTTATCATTCCTGGGCAGGGCTGCTTAGATATGTGGTCCCAGACTAAACATGTCTAGAACGTGCAAAACATGATTACATTTTTTAATGCATCCTTCCTTAAATCCCAATCCCTTCCTCCCGTTAAAAGCTGGTTTATCTGCTGCAGTGGATGCCGCAGCCGGCTTTTCAGCACCATGCAGGCGTGGACCAGAACAAAAGAGGCAACGACAGCAAACAGTAGCGCATCGGCGGAGACGCACCAACATCACCAAATCAAAACCAGTCCTTTTTTAACCTCTAAAACATATAATTTAGAGGTAGAAAATGGCTTTAAAAATAAAAAACATACATTAAAATTGATCTACATAGCTGCAAATAGCGCAACAGTACAATACACACTGGTTTAGAAACTTTACATATCCAAGCGCTGCGTAAAAACGCGTCCAAACTGCCTATTCCTGCAGGATTGTGCGTAGAAAAATGTCTACAGCTATATTAAAAATGATATGAATGAATCCGTTTTGGTGCCTTACCTGCAGGTTTAAGCTGCTGAGCGGCTCTGACACTAATACCCCTGTGTGTGTGAGTGGGGATGCAGTGACAATGAGAGCGCTGTTTGGCCCTAAGGTCCCTCCCTATTGCAAATTGAGCTACCGTAAACGCGCTAATATATGCGCAGGAAGGAGGGAATCCCGTTTAAATCCTGTGCAGCATCGCTTGGCAACACATATTCAACAGATGCTGCATTTGTTAGAGCACAGCTTTATAAATATTCATGGTTATTCAAAGTTTAAGCTGTTTTTCTTTTTTATTATTATTATTTTACTGCCTAACAGATTTAAAAGCTTCCTTTCTCTGTGCGGCTGGAGCATTGGGGTGTGGCTGTTGCTGAGGAAAGATGGAGAGAAGAAGGGAGGAGGGGGCCAGGATGTGAGAAAGGAGGGGGGCATCAGAGCAGTGTCCTGTAGGTGATTGTGGAGATGCTCTCTGCAGCTCCAACTAGAAATGGCATTACATCTAAATTAAAAGGGGTTTGATTAAAAGAAAAGTTTTCATTCAAGATTCAAAATATCTCAATGGATCATTTTAAGCATCAGTCATTCCACAGAGAGCCTATCTTTCTATCCGGATATAAAAGACTCAAATCAAACCAACACTTTCTTCATTCTCCTCAGTTTCTGCGCTCCTCTGCTGCCACCTACTGGAAAAGGTCAGACAGTACAGCTTACAGGTGCATGACAGACGCAATTAGAAAAAAAATCAACTTCAGTCAAAAGTAAAAAAAAAAACAAAAAACAAACATACATTCACAGATCAATTGCACCTAGAGGTGAAACTTAAACTTGGTAATTTTTTTTCTTTTACCAAAATCCAATACCTAAGGCTGCGTTCAAACCGCAGAAAATTCCTGGTATGGGGAACTAAACTGGATGGTTATTCAAGCATCTTTAGTGTCAATGGTCTTGTTGCCTTTCTGACTCTCAGCTTAACATCCAGACTCTGACTACTCATTCATATGGACTCCTCTACTCAATGTTAAAAAAATCTACTCTTTATTTTTCCTATCATCCCCAGGCCATGTAGGAGGACAATGCTTCGAGATGCTGACCTTTGGTTGCTGAACAGTAAGTAAAAATAGAGAACTGATTATTTTTCACCACTCATTGCATCAGAAGTTTAGCACCACGCCTTGTGGATTTTGTCCGTCTGACTTTCCATGAAGACCACTCTTCTTTTTTTTCACCACAACATATTGGCAGGCGCGCTGGAAGCTGTTTCA